CCATGTCCTGCCCATCGCCACACAACCTGCTGGGGAGGTGGAGTGAGGGAAAGGTCTGGTCTCAGGGAAAGTCAGACAGGCCTCGCCACAGGCAGGACCCCAGCACAGCCCCAGATCAGAGAGAAAGAGCCTTGTCCTCAGAAGGCAGGGCCAGGAGGGGGCAGAGAGAGAGGGGAGGGAGGGGAGGAAGAGGGAGGGGAGCAAGGAGCGGCTGGAGCCCAGGACACAGGCTTCAGATCAGGCAGGGCAGGTTCAAGGGCTGATAACCCACACTCTCACTGAAGATCTACCTGCTGCTCAGCAGCGCACTGTCCCCAAGTGTCCAGCTCCTTCCCCAGTGAGATCTGGGATCCCCGAAGCTGCCCCCTTGTCTGGACCTCCCTCAGGGCAGTAACAATGGCTCCTCCTCTTCACTCCAGGGACCCCACACAGTGGCACACCACGGGGTCTCAGCAAATACATGTGCAATAAAAATAAAGACCTGGGCAATAGGGGCTGGGGATGTGGCTCAAGCGGTAGCGCTCTCGCCTGGCATGCGTGCGGCCCGGGTTCGATCCCCAGCACCACATACCAACAAAGATGTTGTGTCCACCGAGAACTAAGAAATAAATATTAATAAAAAAAAAAAAAGACCTGGGCAATAGAGGAAAGGAGAAAACTTTGTCAAGTCCTCAGCAAATGGCAGGGCTCACCGTGTCTCTCGGAGACTTGCCAGCCCTGGAAGGAGRAGGGCTTCTGCATCTCCTTAACCCTCCAGGCCAAAGTCAGTGTCCTGAAATTCAGTCAACCCAGGAAAACTGTCCCTGAGCATGTCCTATGCCCCTGTCACGAGGCCAAAGGCTGGAGAGAGCTAGACAGGACCCAGAGCCTTCCCATAGACATGCCCCATCCAGGAAGAAGAGCTGGTGACCACAGAAGTCCCCAACTGCTTCTGGAGAAGGAATGAACCCCTCTGGGGAGATAATACAAAATGAGGATGCCGCAGCCTGGCCTTCACTCTAACGATAAGGGTACTGATGACCACCACATCAATGGCTCTGRGGGGTGTTCGTCAGTGTGGCCAGCTGTTGGACGGCTGGACTGAAAGAGACCCAGGAACACCTGTTGTCAGGGGTCGGCCCAGACATGGCTCCCTACCTCTGCAGGGCAGAGCAGGCATCAGGGAGGCGTGTGCTGGGGGACAGACATCACCAGAAGAAATAGAATCAGGCACATTTTCCCCTAGACTTAGGAATGCCTCCGCTGCATCTGCCCTCGTGTTCTGACATTAGCTGAAGTCTGTCTTCACTACTAAAAATAAACTTCAGGTCAAACGCAATGCATCAGAAACCTCAATATGAAACCACAAGAAACAGTAATAGAGAAATGGGCCAACACCGAGGTGGTGTGAAAAGACGTTTCTGTTTCAAGTGTGGAGTTGCGAGTGGGCCAGGAGTCCTTTTATTGCTGTGAAAACTGAATAAAGGAAGTCACCTTGACACACGCCCTGGCAGCTAAAAACCAGAGCTGGCTCGTGTCCACAGAGAGGAGGGCAGGAATGACCCGATGCTCTCTCACCAGGGCCAGAGGGGGCCAGGGCGGGGATAACGGGCAAGGAAACAAGAGAAGCCATCAGGGCAGACAAGGCCAGGAGAGGGGCCCAAAAGAGCGAGGGGGCAGGGGATGTCCAAAGCAAAGTAGTCCATTGTCGTCACCTGTTTTCTGTTGCTATAACAGAGTACCCAAGGCTGGACACTTTAAAAGAAAAAAGGTTCATCTGAGCTTACAGTTCTGGAGGCTGGAAAGCACAAGATCAGGAGCTGTGTTTGATCAGCTTCTGGTGAGGGCCTCATGGCAGAAGGTCAAGTGGCTGCACTCAGAAGAGGAACCAGGGGGCTGCCTGTCATGATAACCAATCCATTCCACCAAAAAAAAAAAATGTATCCAGCAATCCATGAGGTTTCCACCCCGCTGACCCAAACACTCCCGTGGGGCCTCATCTCCCAGCGCTGTGCATAACAGACTTGAGGCTCCGGCACATGAACTTCTGGGGGAGAGACTCCAAGCACAGCACCAACCAACAGGGAAGAGCATCCTGCTGCCGAGCGAGGAGGGCCACGGTGGGAGAGAGCAGGCTGAGAACGCCGGGAGCCTGACAGTCAGGGCGGGGAAGGAGAAGCAAGTCAAGGACCCCCACTCACTGAGCATTTCTGCCATCCTCCTGGCACCCCAAGCAGGCACAGGTCACTTTGCAGCTGAGAAAGGAAGGTCTGGAGAGSCACGAAGAACGTGCCAGGGTTACATGGGGAGGGGAGGCCGAGTCGGGGTACATCAGTGTGTTCCTGTACCTCTGTTCCACGGTAGGGACAGAACACAGTCCAGGCTCCTGCAGAGGAAGGGGTGMCCACCTCCTGTTGGCGTGGCGCCCAGGTAAGTCACATCTCAGACAGACTCCCCATGTGGGGGGCCACAGGCAGAGCCACAAGCCCGTGAGCCGATGCGGGGCCCTTTCCAGGACCTGTCGGGAATCCCAGCCCCCAGCTGCCCTGTCCCCCTGCTCCCAGCAGCTGGACTCTCGGGAAACGGCTCTCCTTTCACCCTCGGACGGCCTGGCCCTGCCTCTCTGCTCACAGAAGGCGGGTGACACAGCTGCCTCATGGCCGGGCACCAAGGGCTGTTTTTCCRCTTTCAGCTCCTCTGCCCCGGTGCCTGGAGTCCCCTGCCCTCTCCTCCCATCCCGGGACAGCCCTGCAGGTGCAGCCGGGGATGACACCCTCAGAAAAGGACGCTCCTGCTCCCCAAGCCCCCAGCTGGACAGGAGGGAGGCTCCTGAGACACCCCCCCAGGACTGCCGGAGCCCAGCAAGGCCTGTGACGCGAGCAGGAAGGACCTCGGCTCTACACACTGCAGATGAGCCTCCTCCCCCGACGTGGGAATCGATCATGAAATGAAGATGAACAGCCGTGGGAACACGCAGGCGCCTGAGCTCCCGCTCCAGCCGACGGAAGGCAGCTTCATCGCCACTCAGCAGCTCGGCTCCCCGGAGGCCCACCTTCGGGCACCCTTCAAGGGCATGGGGCAGCAGCCTCCTGAAGGCCTCCCTGTGCAGAGACAGGCCCTCCCTGCCTCCCATGCACACCCAGCCCTCTAGAGTATCTACGAGTTCTGCATCTGCAGATTCAACCAACTGCAGTCGGAAAACACTTGGGGAAAAATCTGCATCTCTGCTGAACGGTAAAGACACTGTCATTGTTCCCCAGACAATGCAGTGTGACAGCTACTTACATGGCATTAGCTATAATACGCGATCTAGAGATGATCTTAAGTACACGGGAGGATGGGCATGGATTGTAGGCAAATAGTACTCCAGAGCTACCAGGGACTTGAGCATCCCTGAACCTGGAACAATTCCCTGAAAACACCGAGGGATGACTGTGCACATACCCCACGTGCTGCCGTCTCCCTCACCTGACTGAAGGACAAGGCCTCGCTCGCTCCACCTCTGCATGTCCCGGGAATGCTGAACACCAGGGCAGACCAGGCACCCAAGTGCGTGGAGGGAGGCTGCGAGGGACACCACATCGTGCAGCTCTCTGCAGTCACCTGTCTGCGCTYACTTCCCAAAGCCCTCTCACCACCGCCACTCTCTCACCTCCTCTCCATCCCTGCACACCTTTCCAATTGGTGGTGGGATCACACCATTTCTATTTCACCAGGCAATTAATTCTTTCCAACATCTTGGGGTATTTTTTTTTTTTTTTGGCACTGGGGATTGAACTCAGGGGCCCTCGACCGCTGACTCACATCCCCAGCCCTATTTTGTATTTTATTTAGAGACAGGGTCTCACTGAGTTGCTTAGTGCCTCGCTATTGCTGAGGTTGGCTTTGAACTTGCGATCCTCCTGCCTCAGCCTCCGGGGCTGCCGGGATCACAGGCATGTACCACTGCGCCCAGCTGGAGCTGTATCTTAAGCTGCCCATTGCAGTCGAGTGCAGGGACTCATCAGCTCTGCTTCGGACAAGAGCTGCACATAGCCCCAAAGGGAATTCACAAGCCAGCTCCCAGGCTGACTGGGTGGTGGGTGAAGGGCAGAGAGCACATGGCCTGGCACATCAAAGGAACATATCAATACGAGAATACCTTTTTCATCCCAGAGCACTTCCTGCTCCTCGTAGGCAGTCTGCTAAGCTCTGGGTGCCCACCCTCATGGGACACCCACAGCAATCTCATGAAGCAGGCACTGATACCGTCCCTCACCTCCAGATGCAGAATCTGGAGCTCAGCAAGGCTGAGTGATCTGCCCAAGGTGAGGCAAGTGTCCAAGTGGGAAGACTGAGGTCCGCCGAAGCCCCGGCCTCAGCTCCCTTCATCCCAGGCAGCCACACGCAGCACAGCTGGTGCACATGACGGAGGGGAAAGGAGGAAGGAGGAAACGCAATGATCCGACTGGGCAGAGGAAGACCTCCCAATCCCCCCCCCCAATCAGGTGTCATGACCTGATACCTAACCCACCTGCTCCTCCTCCTCCCAGAGAAGTCTCCAACGTCAGAGCAAGACAGATGGACAGAAGTGGGGAGCTCAGCCAAGAGACGGCGGTGGGCTCTCCCTCAGCTAGGCACCGGGAGAGCAGCCTAGGCACAGGACTGTGGGCAAGGCAAGGACCAGGACACGGTGCAGCTGCAGGACACTGGCTTCCCGGGCAGTCGAGGGCAGCACAGGAACCAAGAGACCCCCTCCCACCTGKGTGTCATGGGAGCTCAATTACCACTGCAGCCAGCGTAGAGGGGACTTGCCCTTCTATGCAGGAGACCCCTCCCACCTGGGTGTCAGGGGAGCCTGAAACAGGCACCGACAGGGTAGAGGGGACCCGCTGCTCCAGGCRGGAGATCCCTCACACCTGGGTGTCAGTGGGAGCTTTTATAGGGCCACATCCATCCGCCACACCCCACGTTTTGTTGCTGAGACCACCAATTCCGAAAGTCACATTTGCTCCCACCAGGCTCAGGAGAACATCCCTTACCTCAAATATCCTATCTTTCCTTCGGGGAAGTCCCGAGGGGCTGAATAGAGATGCATTTTCTCAGACGAAAAGCACTTAGATCCCAGGTGTAGCCAGATTCTAGAAACGCATAAGAAAAAAAGAGAATGATTAATATCAATGTTTCTCTTGAGTGGATTTGATAAAAAGATGATTCATTCAATTATAAAATTAAAACTTCATATTCACTATATGCCAAATGAAAAGCAACCCCCTAAAAGAGACATTTACTTGGCAACTATTATGTGCCAAGTCCTATGGGAKGCCTTCTATACCTCTCGAGATGGGATCCGATATTCCCCCATTTCAGAAAGCACACAAGCAGCCCAGGCAGAACTGGCACTTGGGTCCTCCTGACTCCCAAGTCCCTGCCCATCAATCCTGTCTCCCTTCCTACCACAGCTTTTCAGTCATCCGATAGCAAGAATTATGGGGGGAGGCTGTGTGAGCCAAGCAGCTGCATCAGATTAACTGTGCCATAAATTTTATCTAAGCTCCACACAATCATCTAGCATGTGATCTGTGGTCAACATGCATTACTTACTCAGGGAACAAAAACTGTAGTGTCATCAGAGATTGCTATCTTAACTGAGCATTGAGAGGGTTCCATGGGGTGGCCAGAAGGATGGGACCTTGCAGGAAGGAGCCTGGAGGCCCTGGCCTCATCGCTCTGGAAGACCCTCCTAGGCTACCCCAGACCTGACCTGGTGTTTCTCTGGGGGCTCGGGCACATACCGTCTCTGTCCTTCGAGGACAGTGATGCTCCAGGGTGGGCTCCACAGAAAGCCACATTGTACCTTTACAACCACATTCACAGCGGGGTGCCCCCCCCCGTCCCTAAAGCAACCCAACATGTTGGCAGTGACATGGTTAAAGGGATGGGGCTGTGGGCACAGACTCAGCACAGAGGACACTGGAAAGTTCTGAAGGGGGATTTGCCTTCAGCTCTAGCTGACCAAATATCTCTGCCCCACAGGTGGGAGCAGTGGGCAAGCCACGGTGAATCCCCCTCTSTCCTCTGGGAAGGGCATGGCCACGTTTGTTGCTTTGAGTCAACATTCTCCCCTGGGGGGTGGGCACCCCAGACAGACCTGCAGCAGCTCGGCACAGTCCCGCCTCCTCCTGTAGAAGCGCTGGTCAACCCTCCCAGCGCACGGAGTCCAGTTCTYAGCAGTGCAGGGTGGATCCCCCCATAGGAAAAGCACGATTGGCCGCCTCACACCCAGACACCAGCCCCGGCACCCCTGCACCCACAGCATGCGCCCACCYGGGCTCCCCGGCACTTAGGCAAGGAAAGCACCTTTCGCCTTGCTGTCAAGACACACTCTCTTGGTTGCCCAGAAAGGACARCGCGACTTCCTGGCTGRCAGTGGCTCTTATCAGACCTCCTGGGCTGGCASCCACCCCTCCTGCTCCAAAGGTCTTTTAGGGGCCTCAGCAAGTTCAACCCTGAGCCTCAGGGGGTTGTCCTGAAGACTTGTTCCTAGCCTGGAGAATCTCCGCAGAGCAGAAGATCAAAAGCACTTAGACATGCACCTCTTATGGTCACTTAACRGAGGCCTGAGACTTCACTGCTTAGATGACTCCTAAGAAGAAAAATAAAGTCTCCCCTCTTCCCAGCTCCTGGGTGACTCACTCAGCGCAGAGACTCAGCCCCTGGGGCTGGGGAGACTACATGAGGCAAGGAGCGTCCAGAAAAGACCAGGGCTGGGGCAAGGGTCCCCAGCTGCAGCCAGGCTGTGGCCCTCACTTCCCAGTTCATCCATCTGTGAAACGGGAGGGAATGCAGCACTGCCCACCTGCCGGTGTGCCGTGGGCGACACTGGGCAGTACAGGAAGGAGTGGCTCTGTAAACCACAGGGGACCCGAGGAGGTGCCTTCATCATGACCAGAGAGCCAGTGACCAGCACACCCTGCCAAGGATGCTCCGCTCAGGACCGTCCCATGGGAACCCCACCGAACACCCAYGGTGATCCTGGGGGGCCGGGACACAGGTACATTCTCATTTTAACGAAATGGACACTCACACTGAGGCTGGTTAAGGAGCCTGCGGGCCCCCTAGCAGAATGTGCAGGTGAACCATTGGTTTGCCAGCTGCCCCCACCSGTGTCGGCACAAGCTGTGGGGACAGTGATAACACAGAGCCATGGCTCCTGCAGGAGAAAGAACTCTCTCCAAGGMAGCCGGACTGATTAATGTTCTTAATTAATGTGTTAACCACACGCAAGGAGCGATGTTCCAGGGAAACTAGGGGCTCATTTTTAAGTTTCCCYAGGGGCTGCAGGCCCAAGGGAGAGAGGCCTGGGGTAGCTGGGGGGCCCAGAGCCTGGTACAAAGTGGGAGGGTCCCCATCCTGTCTACACTCTGAACCTGGACAGCAGTAGGTCACTTCCACACAAGACAAACCAGGGGCAGGAGAGTGGTGCAGCACGGGGCGGCCATGGGGGAACCCGCTCAGATGTCTGGCGAGCCCAGCAGAAGAAGGGGGAACAGGGAGAGGGCCAAGGTGTACCAGGGCCTAGGTCACCCAGGCCTCCGCCGTCTCCCCTCAACACAGCCCTCAAGGACAGGGAATTTACTCGCTCTGGGTTGACAAAGAGACTCTGCAGGTGACCTGTTCCAACAAGTCGTGGGCCCTCTCACAAGTTTCCCTGATGTCTCCAGGAYTGCCAGAGCCCTGCGGGGACCCAGCATACTCTGCTGTCGAAGGAACCCGGGCCACTGTGACAGGCAGATCTAGGCCCCCCCAAGACCTCCAGGAGGCAAGAGGCAGAGAGGTAGCGAGACCCCAACCCCTCAGCTGTTCTGCTTCGAGGTCTGCCAGCAGAATTCCCACTGTGTCACCAGTCCCAGGTCCTCTATTCCTCTCATAACCCAGAAAGCAGGGCTGTATTTTCTTCCCTTCTCCTCCCAGAAGGGGAGGCAGGGCCCGAGTCACCACAGTGGAGCCCACCTGTAATACCAGTGACTAAGGAGGCTGGGCCAAGAGGATCACAGGTTAGAGGCCAGCCTCAGCAACTCAGACCCTCAGCAATTTAGTAAGACCCTGTCTCCAAATAATAAAGGGCCGGGGATGTAGCTCAGTGGTAAAGCACCCCTGGGTTCAATCTCTAGGACCAGGAGAAGGTCAAAAGAGAAGAAAAGCAGCACCCACAGCACGGGGGAGACACAGCACCCAGGAAGCACCCACTGCTGCAGCCAAGCAGCCTCGCCTCTGGGGCAGGAACCTTGAACACCACCTACGCATGGCCCAGGTAGTGGAGCCAACTGGACACACAGATTGCAGCCAGGACCAGCTGCCCCCSAGGCAGGGACCCTCAGCCACCTGGACAGCGGGAGAAAGCCAGCCATGAAATAAGACTGGCACACAATTTTGACCTCAAAGTCAGCCAAACCCCATCTGCCCACTGCAAGTAGACCATGGGATGGACTGTGGCCCTACAGCAGCTCTGGATGGCAGAGGATGAGACTACTTTGCCCCGGAAGCTTCTGAGCACAGGCCAGCCTGGGAATATGTCGCTGCCCTGAAGGAAGCCTCAGAAAGTGACACAAACCCAGATGTGGCCAGACGTCTCCCAGAGATCAGCAAGCCCTGCTCCCATGCTCACCAGATTCCAACAGGCACAGGCTGCCAGGCCAGAGCTAGTCCCCACCAGGTTGCTGTGTCACCACGGGCAGTCAACTTAGCAACCTCTCTGGTCCTTGCCTGTAATCAGGCATAGAGTGGCTACCTTCCCAGATCACGGTGGCGCCGTGATGGATGGATGGACATAGTCACTGATAGCCACAGGGGAGGGGACCACCAAGGATATAGGAGACACAGTTGAACAAGTGGTGCAACATGAGCTTTCAAGTACGAAGGTCCTAACCCAAACCAGGGGCATTCTACCCAACAACTGGCCAGGCCTCTGCAACAAGGTCAAGGTGGGCAACCGCCAAGGAGATGCTGCAGGTTAAGGCAAGGTGAAGGGATACGGCGGCCATGGACAAGGGACTCGAAATCAGGAAGAAGTCGTCCAACAGGACATCAGGATGCCGGATGAAACTGGTCTGTGCATTAGATAATTCAGTTGCAGCAATGCTACATTTCCTGAGTCTGACAATCCCACGGTGGTTACACAAGAGAATCCCTTGTTCTTCAGAAATGCATCCTGAATATTTAGGGATAAAAGGTCATGGCTGCACCTTATTCAAATAGGGGAGAGAGAGGAGAGTTTTTGCAGTGTAAGCTAACAACTGGTGAATCTGGGTATACAGCAGTTCTTTGTATCACCCTTGTGATTTTTTTTTTCTGCTAGTTTGAATGAAGTCATCAGAATAAAAGATGATCAAAGGTTAAAGACAAGGAGAGACACAGGTCTAGGGAGCTGAGAACTAACCCTGCTCATGCAAGCAAAAAAATAAAGATCTTTCTAGCATAACCCATGTTACCTACTTACCAACGTTGCAATTCACGGTGTAGAAAATTACAAAAGATAAAACCGAAGTTCAACTGAACCACCACTTTGTCCCACCAAGGAAAACAAAGGAGAGTGGATCATTACTGTCATTAATGTGACCAGGAGCAGTTTTTCACAGGACCAACAGAAACAAACAGGACACAGTCTTCCCATCAGGCAGCTGGGTACATGGGTGAGCTGGCATCTGAACCCAGGTTGCCAAACAGGGATTCCACAGGCAATGGGAAGATGGGTACTTCAGGTCAGCACAGCAGCAAGACCAGCATTCCTCTGCCTCAGAGACTCGACCCTGAAACCCAAAGGTGGACTGCAGGGGCCCCAGCCCATGTCTCTCTGCCCTCTATGTGTGAGCACAGTACTGTACACAGCAGGTGCTCAATCCTGTTAGTAGACACAGTCACTSACATCCATCTTTTCAACAATATACAGACTATCTTTGGAAGACCCAATAAACTGGTGACAGCCAGGTCATCTGGGAGAYAGGAATCTGGGGACACAGGCAGGAGGCTTCATTGAAGTGCTTCTCCCTGTTGGATTTTGTGTCTTGTGATGACTTACTGCTATGATCTGAAAGTAGTCTGTCCCCACTGAAGCTCATGTCGAAGTGACCGTCATAGTGGG